CCAAACAGTGCCGGCTGGCGACCCCAAGGGGGAGGGCCTTCTCTGTGGGAGCTCCCACCCTCTGGAATGAACTGCCCCCAGAGATCAGGGTTATCCCTGATCTCCCTTCCTTTCGCCGCGCCCTCAAGACTTGGTTATTCCAGCTCGCAGGACTGGCCTAGGGTAATTTTTAGAGGGGTTTTAATCAATATTTTAAATTAGACAATTTCTTTAATATTCCTTTTAATTAATTTTAAACCTGTATTGTTATTTGTGTATTTTAATAGATTGTCAGCCGCCCTGAGTCCTACGAGGAGAAGGGCGGGATATAAATCTAAATAATAAATAAATAAATAAATAAAATAAAGCCCTACAGGCAAACAATAACAAGCATATGTGACCAAAACTCTCTTAAAATAGTGGCTCCTTTTATCAATGAAGTCTTTTCTGTGCCACTAAGGAAAAGCCCAAAATGTCTTTTTCCAGCCATTTTTTCAACACTTGTCTTGAGGTTCTAAATAGCTTTTGTGTAGATCATATGACAGCTTTTTACTATGAATGACACAGTTATCTGAGTATTTTATTCCCTCAAGGAGTTCTCTCATGAGCAGACATTCCTGAGTTAATAAGCCCAGGTCAGCAGTTTTCCATTATCGTTCTTCTGAGGCATTCTTTTTGCAGAAATTCCCATATTATGTTTCATTTTAACTCTCTCTTATGATAAAAGAACTGAAAAATTTCTTCGATGTATTGTCTCTGAATTCTTATCCTATATATAACAAAATCAATTGCTGGGTTTTTTTTTACAGAGGAGAGGGCCATCTATGAAAAGGTTCAACAAATAATAAAATAAACATTTAAAATAGCAATATCAATATCAGACACTGTAACAGTAACCTAGTTTGGTAATTTGTGTTACTATGACCAGTTCTCCAAATTGTACCTCTAAAGTACCTTTGGAGGTTGGCTCTCATTAATAACTCTCTTTAAGTTACTTAAAGGTCTGGTAAAGTTATTTAATTGTTGAGAAAGCTGCTGAGAATAAAAAGATTCATGGACCATACATTTATGAATAATGCTGGCCCATTTTTATCTGTCTTTAGAACATATAATTTATTAACGGTCCTGTAAAAGAAATTGGAAACTTACATGTTGATCATCTCAAAGGTGCCTTTTCAAAAGGCAACTGGACTCTGTTTTTCCTTGAAGATGTTTCGCTTCTCATCTAAGAAGCTTTAGTTGTGAAAACCGATGAAGCTTCTTGGATGAGAAGCGAACATCTCCATAGAAAAACAAAGAAAGTCCAGTTGCCTTTTGAAAAAGCACCTTTGAGACAACCATGACCTAAATGACTGAGATGTTGATATGTTGATATGCTTTAATTGCCATGTGTGTATTAACTGATCTTTAAAGGATATTTTAGAAGAAGGAATACATATATTCCTCTCCTGTAACCATAACGTTTAGTGGCATTAGTGGAGAAATTAAGAGCCTTTACATACTCATAAGGGAAAGTTAATATTATCATTATATGAATTCTTCAGTGCTTTTTATTTATATAAGTACACAGTAATCTGTTTTCCATCACTTAAAATATATATTATTCTAGGGTGTAATTGCCACAGCAGCTTTGCCAGAAAGTGGCTCTTCCCTTGCTTTACGGGCCCTTGGATGGGGTTCACTCTATGCTTGGAGTGGAGTTGCATTGATCAGCTTTGCTATCTGGAAGGCTTTGGGTGTTCACAATGTAAGTATATTCAATTAATGTTGCATGCTTTGGAGCTTTAGAAGTTCCATAAATTCAATAAGCACTTACACATTTTTATTTATGTAGGCAGCCTTGTATGTGTGAATCTTTTTAAGGGGAAAATTAGGGAGAATACTGAACTGTATAAATCCCACTCCTGGGGGCTCACAGTGTATATTTGCATAGGTTGCTCAATAAAATGAAGAACCAGCAGACACCCACAAAGAAGCAAACCTGTGAAAGTAGAGGAATGAATTACATTTTAAAAAAGGATAAATGTAGAAAAATAGTTAAATATGTATAGAGTTGAGATTTGTTCGTTTTAATTGCAACTTGGTGAGTCCGCTGCAGGAAACTATGGTCTTTGGGAGGGCTAGGTTAGGTATGTGAATGCAGCCATTATGATTTGTTTGCTTATTTATGAAATTAGTATGCCGCAGATCTTTCTAGACTCCTGGTGGGTTACAATAACAAAAGTCCTACAATATAGTAAGCTTAAACATCCAGGATAAATATCCTCCTCCAATCAACACTCCCCCCCCACCGCCCTGTTTATGACTTACTACAAAGTATGAATCCAAGTAATAGCGATTTATTCAACAAACTATGGTTTAGCATGATGTGTTCTTTATATTTAGGCAATGAGAATTGATTCGTACAAAAGGCTTTTGCTCTTTCTCCGCATACGTAGTTAAGCATACCCCTGCTGGATGAAGCCAAGGCCCATCTTGGTTTAGCATTTTCCTTCTTATAATGGCCAACAATCAGAAAGTTGGCTTACAATTCCTGATTTGTTTAGGAGTAACATATTTTGAACACCGTATTAACTTGACTCTTGCTGGTCACTTCCTAAGTTGTTCACCAGCTAATAGGAGAAGATAAATAAGGATAACTGGACACAGCTTTTCAAAGCAAGCTTGCCTGGGAACAGTGTCCCAGGTTACATATTGTAAAAAGATAACCCTGTATTTTGTAGCTTCTTTGTTTCACAGAAAGCTTCAAGTTGAAATCTGTAAAAAAGACAGATCTATTAAGTGAGATAGGTTTCCATAAATAATACGTTTTTAAGGCAGTTTATTCAGGTTCTTCCCCCCCCACCCCCCTTGCAGCGCAGTATGTAGAACTACTACACTAGTAATGTTTATTGTATCAGGGCCACCAAATTGGGCCTATAAAAATCTGAATCACTAAATGGCAAGAAAGAGTTAGAAAATTGATACCATCTAGTGGCCATCTGCACTTTGATTGTGTAGATCTGGTAGCTGTAATTATCAGTACATGGTTCAA